ACTAACGGAATGATCTGGTATTGTAAAATAATTTTTTTATATGTTGCACACCGAGTGAAGAATCAGTCGTGTAACATCAACGGTCTCTCCTGTAGGTTACGGCATTACGGCATTACGGCGTATAATATTTATGCCAATCAGGTACTGTGGTAAAATTAATTCAACCACATGGTAGAATGCCGTAATGCCGTAATTCAGTAATCCTACCACCAACTATATTTGTACATGAAATATACCAAATTTTTAAACGCTCTTTTTCATAGTAATTTACTAGTAAAGATGTATCAATTTTGCCGATCAATTTTATGCATAAAATCTAACCGTAGTAGCATTATTATTGATCCTTACATCATTTTGCCTAATTAGTATTTGAAATACCCCAATGTTGCATGTGTAACATGTAATGTAGAGGTGCAAATGCAATCACCATGCAGATTGCAATGTACGTCTATTGTGTTCAAATTAATTGGGCATATGTCCAATTAATTTGAAAACAATTAGACATAGCGATAGTAACATTCACAACACTGTACGTACATGGCCTTCTACGCTGCAGCACATTTTGCCCATCTCTAGGAGGAATAGTAGGATTCAAACTTTTTTGATGCCGTTTATTGGGTATTTGCAAGTATATTTAATCACGAACGGTCTAACAAATTGATTAATAATTGCATGCTTGTAAATAAACATGATAGGATAATGCATGGCCAAATCGGCCGAAAAATTATTCAACTAATCCCCCGATCACTATATCAAGATCACGGAAGGATTAATTAATAATACCCTGACCGTATGTGAATAAGCGGAAACTTCGTTTCCGCTAATTCCCAACGGATCAGGATATTATTATTACTAATTTTTATCAGGTGTCCCGGAATTTATTATCATAATTCAATTATAATTATCAGCATTTAAAACAGGCAAATTTGTCCGGCTACCATTTTTTCTAGCTGACGTAAGCTATTTACTGTATATCACGTGGACAAGTCATCTTTATGATTGATAAAAAATTCAGATGCTTATATAAATAGTATACAAACTAATATAACCGACTCAGAATTTTCATATATGCGTTTTTCCTTTTTTGTTAACCTACGCAACGTCTTTCATGCCATTCATTAGCTATACGACTATTTGCAACATCAAGTCCAAAGGGTGCATTCATAGAGGGTTGACTATGTCGTACGTACGTACAGTGCATACGGATTAAAAAGTTTTTCTATACATACAGTAGTCTTGAAGTATAAAATTGTTACACGAAAAACATAATGTTTATATTGCTGTATTGATAAATTGCGTGCGTACGTGTTTATAAAATTTACGTTGTCTTTTCGTATAACTATTTTATGCTTTCCAAGGATGTATGAATTAATTCGTGTACGTAGATTTTAACATTTAAGTCTAAGAGAAAGAATTATTAGAAAGAAGTGCGTGCCTTATATTTAAAAATTAAAGACTAACCAAAATGAGTAATAAAGCCATAGAATTTGTGGATGAAATTACATGCTATGCATTGCCATATGGAACTTGGGGAGTGGCCTGTTGGCTAGTATCGTCCATCACCACTGTATACGTGTACGCGAGACCACCCAAGACAAACAAATGGTTGTTAATTTTGAAAGTAATTTCTTTGCTAGGTCCAGTTATTTTAACATGTATCCGTTGTAATCATCATTGGACATTTATACTTATTGCAGTGAGCAAACTTGCACCAGATGCCTACCTTCTGGCTAGGAGACGTATTCATAAATTTGACGAGGACGATGACTATGAGGATGATACATTCTTTGACGGTGATAACTATAATAATTGTTATCGACTGTGTCTTATTTTTGCAGCATTTGCGTTATTAATTTGTGGTTGGGTAGGTACAGCAAATTTTGTTTTCATGGCAGGTGAACATAAACAAGACAAAGTTAGCATTGTTTCAGCTTGGGTAGGCATAGTATTGTCGATAATTATATTTCTATTGGTTATATGCTGTATTTCTTGTTTGTGGAGAGTATTATTAAATTGCTTATTGAAATGTCTGGATGTTGAGGAGGATGTTTCGTGGGTTATGGTAATTTACTATTTAGTTGCCTCAAATGTATTGTTTTTACACATAGTTCTTGGGTTTTATTGTAATAATTGGAATGGACTTTCTTCAGAAAAATTAACTCAAATTTCGGCAATAATTTTTATGGTTGGGAGAAATATTCAGATTTATGATTTGTTGCAAATTTTATATAAATTTCTAAGCAAACGCCTGTTTAAAAATTGAATGGATCGATATTTTATATAATTAATTATTTATTCATTTTCCACAACAAAACAATGTTAAATTATGTCGTATATGTCGGCAAATAATTTAAATTCAGTTCGTAAATTATTTTGGTGGTTATGCTGAGTTCGTCATCCTTATGTATAATAGATAAATTAACATAATATATCTTAATTTAGGTCTGTTACAATTCAATTTTAAGGCTCACTTTTTAAATTTTATATACAGCAAATATAGCAGTTCCTCGGTCTTTATTAAATAATTATGCGTTACATTTTTTAAATGGATTACATGAATTATTACAGGGATATATAGCTAGGGCTAGTTTATCCTTGACCCAAAATTTTACTAGAGTGGGCTATCTGACTTCCACTAGATTTAGTTTGGCTATATAAGATGTGGATATATTAGTTGTGTAAAGATTATTATATTTGGCTGTGTTAATGTAATGTGTAGGAGGATGTAGAGGTGTGATAGTGTTAGTATCTATTAGAAGTCTATTTTGGTGTATATCTTTGCAGTGTTCTAGTAATATATATTTGTGTATATTGGTAGATATTTTTGCAGAATTTTAATAAAAGTTTTATTGGGATTGAGGTAGATACTCAGATGTTGTTAGGGATTAGACCTTGCAGTATTAGAATATTGGGAACCTTTGTTCTGTTTGTGAAAAAAATTTGTAAAAGTATTGCTAAATCTAATGTCTGAATATTCTACTTTGCAGAGTATTTGTTATTGTTTTAATTTAAGTTAATATAGTGGTATTGGGTTTTTAGAGCAGATTAGCTAGTAGATATTATCCTCAGTTGCAAGTTGGTTTGTATACTTGCTTGGATGTTTGTAATTTAGATTAAATAATGTTGGTAACTCATCTAGTAGAAATTTAATCTTAAAGTTCTTTCTAATTAATAACTTGAATGTGTAAATCATGTGTGTAATTTGTTATTATAGTTAAGAAATTAATGTATATTGTTCTAATTTATGCACTATTGTATGTTCTTCCAGTTATCTATTCAGATGTTCTATAAAATAGGTGGCAAACTCTGCAAACTTCACAACTTCACTATTAAAAAATTAATAATTACTAATCATTAACAAAGCTTTTTTCTTATATTGCTCACTTATTCTATAGAACATCTATTTATTCTATTGAATAAGTGCTATGTAGAATATTTTGTAGATGTTGAATAAACTATTAGGTTTTGTGCCTTATGATACATTGTTCTATATAAGATAAAAATTGTTGATATCTAATAGTATGGCTATAATTAGATTTTGTATTGCTATAAGAATGTGACTAATTGCATTGTTTATTAAAAGGGTGAGTAATTTGCTCTATTATCTATGTAAATAAGTCTAATATATAATTTTTTAAAATTACTTATTAGAATTAAAAAAGTAATATAATTAATAAATTGAATAAATTATATAACTTATTCACTATAATCCAATATTTATCATGATTCCCAACAATAATTATAACAATTTATGCTGAAATTTTGGGTTCTTATTTAAATCTCTAATAGTTACTAAAATTTACATATACTTGTATATTATAAATACTAACTCTAATTTCTAATCTAACTATAAAAAAAGGTTTACAAAAAAGGCCCAAAATTTTTGGAATTTTGATAATAAAATAAGTCAAATTTCTTGCATAAGTCAATTTTAGTATAAGTTGTTACAATAATTATAACTATATAAAAACATATAAACTATATAGCATCATTGCATTTAAAATATTGTCTAATTCTAAAAAAAAAATTAAATTTTAAAAAATGTAAAGTAATTTATTGCTTATACAATTTATTTAATAGTTTATTAAGTTAAATCATTGTTTAAACTTTAGGTTTAAAATTTCTATAAAATGTAAGTAACTTTGCAATATATAGAATAACTTAACATACAAAAACAAATATTTGATAATATTTTAGTATATTAATAAAAGAAATTTTTAAAAAAGAATTTAGCAAACTTACATGAAAGACTTAATTAAAAATACTTAGATATTGCATATAAGTTAGATAATATTCAGCCAATGTTCACTTTGTAAAAATTGCTTATTTCTCATGAATATATATAAGAAATTACCTTTTAAGCCTTAACAAAGGTTTTTCTGATATCCAACTCTAAAGTAAATATGACATTTTGTGAATGCTACAAAAGAAGTTCAGACTTTCTTTATGCATAAGCATGTTATTTAAAATTTTACACAATAAACCTGTTCACAAGAAAATGCAACTATATATTATATTGTCAATTTATAACATTAATTGCATTTGTGAAGCTTCTTGCATACTTATAGAGGAATATTGTCTTAAAGAATTTTAGTTATATTAGGTGTAATTTTAAAAACACCTGACCTACATCCAATTTGATAACAACCTTTTGCAGTTCTAATAATTGCATTTAATAGATTTTGTAAAATTTTGTTGCAAATATATTATAATCTTTCTTATGTAATAAAAGTTTTATAACATAATTTACTATTAAGAAATTTAATAAAATAAACTTTCAAATGCACTATGTTATAAGAATAGACATTCTTATAGCTCACTATTTTTTTTAAAAAAAATATAAAAAATATAGGACAAATTTATTAATATAATTTTATTATTTGAATTACTAGTTTTACACTGTAAGAGACAAAAATAGAACTATACAGAAGGCATTCTACTAAAGGTTTTAGATACAATTTAGATAAGTATATTTATATATATTTTTTTGCACTTAGGTTTTACTTAATAAATATATAAAAGCATTCAATCTTTTTAATGATTTTTTGAAATGTAAAAGTTAAGTTTTATTCATTATTTTGTTACTTACTTTTATACATTTTCATATTAATAATAATTCTATTTTTAAGGCTCTACAAGTTGTTCTTCTCTTATAACCAATTGTTTTTATACTCTTATCAAATAGATTTCTTTTTTTGTTTGCTTATTTTTAGATCTTATTGCTTTTACTAACAATATCATTTTTCTTATTTTGCAATTTTGCTCTTACTATTTTAAAACCTAAATGTTGTGGTCTTAAATCCTTCTTGATTTGGTTATATACATGTGATCATTCAATTATTGGGCTGTAGAGCATTTTATCAATTTAGATAATCACAAATAATTACATTGTAAGAGGCAAAATATGACCTAGCTATAGGCATGTGAAAAATGCAACCATGACCTGAACCAAGATCTTAGAATGAAGCCTCCTAAACCAAAGTCTTGAACTGAAGCTAAACTGCAAAATTTTGCATATAAAAGAGCATTTAATAAAATGCTATATTAGGTTTAGCTTGAGGTAAAGCTTATTGAGTAATGGCTTTATATCATAGTCATGCAAATAAATCATTGTGCTTGTAAATTTCCTCCTGATACTCAATTTAGTTAAGCTGTATCAAAGCCTCTGCTGTATTTCTCTTGTATAAAAGTTCTGTAATTTCTGTTAGTAAAAGGACAGTTAAGTAAAGATAGGTTATCATTAAATATTAATAAAGATATATCTTAAAACTAGAATCTGAGTGGCAGTAGAATTCTTGGTTCTTGAACCAAATTTTTCATGTCTTTTTTTTGAGTTGTCTTGTGTTTTTGCATTACATTTGTTACATTTTAACCATGAGGAACCCAGTAGTCCTAAATCTGACTTTTACAATATGCATCAATCAGGTACTAGGAATGATTATTGATTATAATACATAGGTCATAATCCTGTAGTCACAGTTCATTTACAGTACAGTACACAAAATTTTTTTTAGAATATTCTAGAACAAATCATTAAAGTATCCTTATCTCAAAATTTTAATTATTAAACTGTCTTTCGCATTCTAACAAAAATTATTCCTTGCACAATGTTGCATATAACTGATTTATAAATGCTACATCTATTATATATATTTCGTATGCTATACATACTATACAACTATACGTACTATACGTGAAAAAAATTCAGATATCATATAAATGGCACATCTATAATAACACCATTAATTTTTGAATGTAATAACCCAATTTTTAGCATTAATAACCTTTAAGTAGATTCATAATTACAATAAATTTATTGGTGAAAAATTCTTGCTTATAATTATTTAATAATTTTGGCTTTATAACTATCTTTGCCTTTCAAGTTGTACTTGTGAATTATAATAAATAATAATAATTATAAATCATTCTAACGAGTAGGTACTACATCCTGGACTAAATTGGCATTTCTGATTGGATTTCTAACATCGGATGGATTGTAACACATCAATAATAATCAATACTAAGTATTACTAAGTAAAGTTACTATTTCCTGCATAAAGATGTCTTATGACAAGATCATGGCTCCATTAAGCAAAGCCTGAAGAAATATCTCTCGGGTGCCATTAACATCTCTATCTATTTTTATATTGCAATTTTTGCATTTGTATGTTTCTGATCTTCCAATATTCTGAATGTTTTCACACCAACTACATGTTTTTGACGTGTAAGCCTCATTTTGAATTATCACATAAATTCCTTTCTCTTCTACTTTTGAAATCAATCGTTGTCAAAACTTGTAATGAGACCAGTAAAGCATCTTTCTAACTGTTTTCCTTGTTATCTTTCATGTTTTTCTGTTCACCATATCTGAAACCTTAAAAGGAGGAATAACAATTATGTCAAATTCATCTGTTAAGAACTTGATTGTTTTTCGATGGATTTCATCCTGCAGCTGTCTGATCTTTCATTACATATGAAAAATGGCTTTGTCAACATGCAATGCTTTCTTCTTCTTTCATTTCAAAATTGAAGATGCTAATCTGTCTTTTTTTGATATTAGATCGTCCATGTGTTTACATAAACGAAAAATACATCCTATATCATGTTCTTCTATCTTTCCTACACCTTTTGTTGAAGAATACTATATGAATGAAGTATGAACTCCTGGATTAATTGAAACTATATGAACATCTGCTTGTGTTTCACAGATCTGTTTCTGTGCTTCGTATATCCAATAAAATATTCATTTGTTTGTTTTATATATATATATAAGTTTACAATCACAATCTATCTTTTGTAATGGCCATTTATTATGCTTTCTCTTTTTTTCAAAATGAAACGAACATAAGTCATGTTTTCTGTTCTGTAATTTATTAGGTTTGCATCGTTTTGATGATAAAGTCAAAGAATTATAAAGATATATAATGTAAAAATGTTTCCAATCTTTCTTTGAAAAGTTTTGTGCATGAACAGTCATTGTCTATCATAAATCTTTCTTAGATTTAAATGATAATGATGATTTTTTAGTTTTTTTTAAATTTTTTTGTATTATATTTTTTCTAGCTATCAAAGCTTTATCAATACTTTTATCAATTATATTTGCAAGTACTTTATCATGTAAACCTTTAACATATAATTCTAACTATACAACTGTTCAAAGAAATTTGTGTTCTCCCCATACACATGATCTTTGTAATTTTTTATCTTTTTTATTAAAATCTTTTCCTTCTTTTATATCTATGTATAATTTAAGTTTTTCATTGAGTGTATGAGGTTTTATCCATTCAAAATTTTTAGAACTATTACAAAAACGATGATTATTGTTCCATCTAACAACAGTATTATAAGCATATCTTATCAAACCTAGCTATCTCTTTAATGTCTTTTTCTGAGAATGATTCGAATATGTTTTGATTGATAACGTTCGATTTACAATAGTTTTGATTTTTCATTTTTTTTTGCTTCATGTTTTTATTGTTTTTATTTTTCATTGATTTTCGTTCGCTTCAGTATTTAGCTGCTCTTCTTTCCTGTATTTGACAGATAAAGATAGTGTTGATTGCAAGGATATCTTGTAATAATTCATGCTCGTTGGAACTTAATTCGTCGAAGAGAACCATGAGTTTCGTAGAGTGTACTGAGAACATATATTCAATGAGGTCAAATGCAAATCTGCAGAGTTGGTCATGGTAGGTAATCACAATTTCTGAGAACATATATTCAATGAGGTCAAATGCAAATCTGCAGAGTCGGTCACAGTGGATAATCACAATTTCTGAGACCATTCCTTTACTTGATCGTTCCAGTAAAGTTTTAAGTCCATTTCTTTTGAAGTTGATACCTGACCCGATATCACTGATGAGCTCATAATTTGGGAATCTGGATTTAAGGATCTGTTTCTGTCTTTCAAGGTCTTCTTTTTGTTTGCTACTTGAGACTTATGCATATAGGAAACCTTTCTTTTCAGTAACGGAAGTGGTTGAGGTATCATTTTGAGTAATCAACTCTGGTAAGAAAAAAGAAATATCATAGAGACGAGTTCTGAATGGAAATGTTATCACAGATATTTTTCCCTGTCTTGACCAATGTCTCAAAGTATCAGATGAAACCCCAAATTTCTTGGTTGTTTTATAAGCAGATAAATATATAAGAAACTTTCTGATTCTAAATACTCTTATTTTTAAGGATTTTTTATTTATTTATTTTTTTATTAATGTTAACGTTAATATTAATATGACCTAACGTTAATAAATTTGGTACTTTTATCAATCTAATCTAATATGATAATGATAATAAGTGTTACTAAGCAATTCATTATGCCATTTATCAGTATGTATTACTAATTAAAATTTTTATCTGGGAAGGTGAAATTATTTTCCTCATAAAAATCAGAAAATCAAGATTCGATGTCATTGAAATCTTTTTTTTTGACATTAATATCTAATTGGTGTGCCTTTACATTTCTGTTAAGATAGCTAAATACTATGACAAAACTATGTATAGCCTCAAAAATACAAAAAAAAATTTCAATTCGATTCTTCGTATTTTTTAAAAAATAATTTATCATTTAATTTTTATAATTTTTACGATTTGATAATAAATTAAGAATAATATAGTTTTATAAGCAACTTAAATCAGTAAGAAATTAATATCAAACTAAAAATGTGAGCCAGTATTGGATAGCAGTTCACATTTCTATATCAAACTTATATGAGTTTCAAATTCATTAAGATTAAAAGAGTTGTGAATCATAAAAATATACTTTAAAGTTTTTTAAGACATAAAGCATTAATTAATCTATAAACAATTAAGCTTATTTAGTTTAAAATATACACCTTAATCGTTATTTGAATTTTAAATATAAATTTTTTTTTATGTAACACTCCAAAATATTCGATATTGCTAAATTTAGAATTTTTAATTTATTACAAATGTATATACATACAGTACCAATATGTACTATTGTTAATAGAAATTGACAAATAAAACATTTATCAATAGAACCACCACTATTTGTACATAGCATTAAATGAATAAAACAATAGAAACTAGAATAGAATATAATTTTTATTAGTAGAACAAAAAATTGACAACACTGATACATACGTACAAATTCAGTTTAGCTATTTTTTTTGATACATTAAAGTTTTGCCTATTTTTATAATTTTTTAAAGAGTTTTTTTTTTATTTTCGAATAAAAATCTATTCAATAAAGAAGTTTTCATAAATAATAAGAAACTAATTGTATAGTAAAAAGATTTGCATTGATAGGTCTTTCTTGTCATAAAAAAAAAACTATTCATCTGACTAAATATTAATCATTACCCAATGTAATGTTTGGTGAAATGATAATATGGACCCATTTTTTAGATTATCCAAATTTTGTGGTTTCGATCCTGTTCTATTAAATGAACAATAAGATAATTGTTGATACTGTGTAATTTGGACACTCTATACCAATTACGTCAATTCAGTTCAATTACATGTTATTTAGTCTATTAATCTCTAATTTAAACTTAATTTTAAATAACTTATAGCTAATCTAAATAAACAAACCAATCAACTATATCGATACAGTATTGTTGTTAAATTACTATATTTATTTAATTCGATAACATATAAAGTTATGAATTAAAGATTTTAAATAAAATAAAACTACTTAATCTAGATTATAACTTATGTGTTGTGAATTTAAATTTCACAATATATATCGTTAAGTTTAATTTTCTTCATCAACACAATGCTTCCTATACTTCCTACTGAATGTATGAAAGAAATATTTCAATATGTAAAGAAAAACAATGAATCACTCTATTCTTCTTTATTAGTAAACAAATGCTAGTATAAAAATGCAGTGCCATTATTGTAGGCTTGCCTATTTGAGAAATTAAACTTTGATAGCATATACAAGATTACATCAGTTTACATGTCATTGCTTAAAGAACATGAAAAAAATCATCTTAAGATATTAATAACTACAAATTTATATGACCAAAAATTTATTCTGAAATTGATACTAAATAGAACACCTTTATTTAGTTATTCAATGATGCTAGAAGAATTTTCACTTAAGAGCTTAGAAATAATTGTACATTCCTGGATTGTAGTAATTTGGCTTGATAAAAATTTTGAGGAGTCAAGAAGACAAATCATACAAATGAAGAAACAAATGATAATGATTTTATTCAAGTTATTTATTAAAAGTACAAATTTGAAATTTTTAAGAATTGATAGTGACAAGATTTTAAATTATGTTCTGAACCTTTAGCAAACAATTAGACAATTTTTAAATATTTCAAAGCTTGAAATTGGATATGCAACTCAACATATATCGATATATTCTATAAATTTCTTAGAAAAAATATCAACAACATGTAATAAAATAGATAATTTAATCGTTAAAGTCTCTGCATTTGAGAATAACCCTGAAATTAAAAATTCTATTATATCAATTATAAATACGCAGAAACAATTAAAAAAATTTAGCTTCAGGGGTGTAAATAGCTGGGTTAAAGAAATAATTAAAGTCTTACTGTCTCAAGCTAATTTATTAATATTTGTCAAACTCGAGTGTGTTAACATCTCAGAATCTTCATTAAATTCACTTGCTAAATGCAAAATTTTGGAAAATCTTGTGATTTTGAACTACTCAGGGCTTGTAAGATTATGCAATAATTTCGAATTTAAAAATTTGAAAAAGTTAAATATTAAAAGACCTTTAATGAATATTAAAATACCAAACCTGAAAGAATTAACCTTAAAAGTGTTAACACAGGAAGTGATGCTTTATATTACACTGGCGATCATAAATAATGCAACAAAAAAAAAATTTAGTTAGATCATATTATCTCACTCAATTCTGGGCATATTTGTTAAATTTTTTTTTTATTGTATTAGATAGCAAAATTTTAATAATCATTATTATTACCAATGTGAAGATAATTGTGAATTTATTACAAATTACATGTTGCATTATTTTTGATCATTTTTGACAAAGATCAGATCGCGTGAGTTGTGCCCCATAAAACATATAAAAATGGAAGTTTCATTGTTGATTCTGCATCTTGTGTAATGTTAAAATTGCTTACAAATCAAAAAAAAAAGAACCATACAACTTCTGCCAAACAAGCCCAAATATTGCTTTCTCTTCAAAAAGAGTACACTACAAGAGCAGTAGGTCGGGCCCACTATGTTAACTTTTCCACAGTCTCACGAATTAGAAAAAAGTGGTTAACAAACCATACACTTGAAGATTTAAAAAGGGTTGGTCATCTAACTTTGTTGGATGAACCAACCCAAAGAAGAATAGTAAATTTAATTACCTCCCATCGCTACTCTACCACCGTTGAAGTAAGAATCCACCTCAAAATAAATAAAGATATTGAAATTTCGGTGTCTACTATTTAGTGGATACTTAGAAATCATGGTTTAGTGTTAGGAGTAAAAAAAAAAAAACCCTACCTAAGTAATAGTTATTGAAAAACATGGCTCGCTTTTGCAAAAAAATATGAAAAATGGACCGTTGAAGATTGGTCCAAGGTAATTTGGTCAGATGAGTCAAGATTCCAAATTTTTGGGTCAGATGATAAGCAGTACTATTGGAAGCGTCATAGAGAACCGTTAAATCAGTTCCATGTAAAGCCCACTATGAAATATGGTGGCAGATCAATTATGATTTGGGGTTGCTTTACCTCTTGCAGTGTCGGCAGCTATTGTAAGGTCAATGGTATGTTGGATACGGATCTGTACCTAAAGATACTCCATGAAGATTTGATGTAGACGATTGAGGATCATGGATTTGAAGTTGGTGAAGTTGCTTTTCAACAAGATGGAGCATCTTGTCATATGGCAACCTTGACCAAACATTGGCTTACAAGGAAGAAGATTAAGTTTTTCGACTGGCCTCTCCAATCAGCTGTTCTAAACCCGATCGAACACTTGTGGAATGAAGTTGATCATTGGCTTAGGGACCTCTCTGGTCAAATTTCAAGTGAAAAAGACCTCTGAGAAAAAATTCAGATGGTTTGGCAGGCAATTAATGTTGAAACCTGCATGAGGTTAATTCGTTCAATGCCAGAATGAATCTGTAATGTAATTAGAGCCTGGGGCGGCTACACCAAATGGTAATAGCTGAAAATTATTAGAAAAAAAAAAATTTATTTTTTTTATGTAAAAAAAAATTTTTTAGTTTTACAATCGTGTTGCCATTAAAATGAGCAAAAATAATGCAACACGTATATTGAAATAAAGCTTGTGCTCCAAAAAATTTTAATCATTAAATTTTTAAATCCTTTTTATTAATGATAATATTGCTATTTGCGAATAAAATAAAAAAAAAATTTAAGAAATATGCCCAGAATTGCGTGAGATAATACGATCTGACTAAATTTTTTTTTTGTTGCATTATTTATGATCGCCAGTGTATAGAAAAATGTCCTAATATTACTCATCTTACTCTTAATAACTATCATCCAGCTCCTCATGATCAGATATTTAAAAATTTGGTTTAAAAATTAAATATAACACACTTAACCATTAATTTTCAATATAGCAAATCTATTATTTCTGAATCTTCAGTTTTATCAAAAGAATTTCTTCTACCTTCGCTTAGATGTTTAGTTGTTCATTGTGAGCTTATTACAATTTTTCTAGATAGTCTACTAGATGATTGTTGTTATACGAATTTAAAAAAGTTAATCATTAATGTAATGAAACTTTATCATTATATTCAAAAATTAATTCTCAATTTGATGATAATATTGCAGATAAATACATGTGCCATTTTAAATACTTATTAAATTTGAGAAGATTTCAACTTTTTATCTCTCAACTTATTTTGCATTGATGTTAATTAACATATTTTCTTATTAATAGATTTTTTTCAAACATATTTTCTTTAAAAGTTAAAAAATTTTCAGGAAAGCTTCACAAACGATTAGAACTAGAGTATCCTGATTACACACAGCATTAGCTATTTTCCTATTGCTTAAACAAATGAGAATTGTTTAAACTGCGTAATCTGGACACTCTAGAATACATGAAAGCTTAACAATTTATTTGAATAAATGTAATTCGACCAAAATAAATCAGTTTTTAAATCTTTTATTATTAGTTGAATTAGTAGTTGTTTTATCATAATAATCTTTAATTCTTGTGTAAGAGAATTACTTAAATTAAGATCTTTATTTTATTCTGGATGTTTGTTGTGCAAAGTGTACAATTTTGTTTAGAATATTCTTTAAATTTTGTATAAACAAGAATTAGAAGATTTTAAATAGGTAAAATGTTGACAACAGCAATTGTAATGATTAAACATCACATATTTCATAGTCAATTTTATTAACATCAAAATATTATACTGTATATTTTGAAAGTAGATAATGAACAAAAGAAAATCTAAATATAAAAATATTATTCAACTTTAAGGCAAACTCAAAAACTGTAAGAGAAAAAATGATGTAGTAATACAAATTCATACAGGTTCATTATTTTAATTCAAAAAAAGGAATTTGACAGTGACAATAATAATTGTATTTTGATTCAAATATAACATTTTTGCAGTAGGAGAAAAAACAATGTGGTACATAATACAAATTCATACAGTTTAATTACCTTAATTCAAAAAAAGAAATTTGACAATAACAATAATAATCATATTTTTAATTTAAATATAGCATTTTTGCAATAAACAATGCTAAAATATAATCTTATTTCTAATACTTTGAAATAAAATTCAAATGCGTTAATGTTATTATTATGAATAATAAAATTAGCATTGCAAAAGATTACATGATTTTGGGGTCTCATGGGACCGCGAAATCATGTGATCATTACACTAACCTTTGAATCAAAGATTCATCAAATATGGGCGTTTTGTGATTGGTCTCAGTGTCATCCAAAAGATTTTTTAAGAACTGGTCGTATTTTTCGTTTTTACTTATCATTAGATATTTGGCTGTAATGCCAGATTCTATGAGAATTGATGCTGGACAATGTGTTATGTTGAGTAGTTCTATAAGTTGCCATGTCCCTCTTCAATATTTTCACTCCTGTCTATCATCAATATTTAAAATTGATTTGATCTTTTCTCTAACAAAACCACGCAAGGTTTTCTGAGTTGGAAGTTTTTCCATTTTTTGTTCATGTTCATTTGCTAGTGTTATGAGTAATGATAGATATGCTCCCCCAAGTTTATATAACTATTTTAGCATTTTCTCTTTCACTTGAGTCTTTGTTAAATTAAGTTGATTATACTGCAAAGACCACACTTTAAAATAGTTCTCCAATGATTCGATATTATTTGTAGAATAAGAGGGCAATGAAAAGGAAAAATTAATTTTATCATAATCATTAAAAATATGACTGAATTTTGTGGTTAGGAGATCTTTAATTGATCAGTTTTTTGAAAAAAGCCTATCTCCATATACTATTAATTGACTATTTCAGAGATTTCTAAAATTATTTTTTAATAGAAGGGCCTCATTCATTTCAATTTTATTAACAGTGTCTATAAAATTTTCTTGGAATTAGTGTTATCAGTTTAAACTTGAGTAAATTCTTTTTATTTAACCTACCACTTATTTGCGATTCTTCGATTAAACTACTACTATGCTGAATCATACACTAATTATAATAAAAATATATAAAATTATAATTTGAATATGCAGGTTTGAAAAATATGAAACATCTTTATTAACATATATATCAACTCATGTACCATCAAAATCACTTTCATACAAAGGTCATTGAATTTTTTTTTTTACCTTGTTACTTGATAATTTCGATGTACATTTTCATTTTTTTGATTTCTTTGAAAAAAATTTTATAAGCAAAAATAAGTATTTGTTAGAAAAATTTAACAAAAATTAACAGATATTATCACGCAGAAATTCAGTATGAACTTTAGTAGTGTTAGGTTTGCTCCTGAACTATTCTTCTATTTGAATTTGAATATTAAATTATATTAATAGCATAACATCTAACAGTGTCGTCAAACAATTTTTTTTGCAACAGTAAAGTCTACATAAAAAATTTCATACTGTATCGATACTTGGGATTAGAACAATTGGATATTGTCTATCATCAGATGGATTTTGTTCAATAATATTTGACGATAAAGTAGATGGCTTTTGTTGATTGTTAATAATTGATGAATTTGCATAACGAAAGAAATAAGTATATATATAAAACAAAAAAAAAAAGAAAGAAAGATAAGCTGCTAATAATGCTACTAACATTTCTATTGCTTTCTATAACGCTTGTTTCAGCATCAGGGTGTGAAATGTTTGTTTCCTTACTAGAATGGTTGCTTCGAGTTATAGACGGTTTCTAGAAATTATTTCATTAGTGTGTGATCATTAATAAAACCAACTCATTCATAATGTTTACCAATATTTCATTAACACTAGGTAAGGAATCGTCCTCAGTCAAATCTGAAGGAACACGTTCTATGGAATCGTTAACAAGTTCATTACTAATCTTTAATAATTTGAAATAGTTTAGAGACATTACAATTAACTCTAATCAACATCTTATTAATATTTATTCATCTTATTGACTTGCCTAATCTTAGTTTTACTTAATTTAGGTTTGTTTTTTTTAATTGTCTTGGAAACTTTGAATTTTTCATTAATTTTAGATTGATATGGTTTTCTAGAATTTCTTTTTGAAAATCTTGAAGTTAATGTATCAAATCTTTGTTTATCAACTTCTTCAGTAGAGTCAGCATACTCATCGGATTGTAGGTTATTGTATTGTAATAATTTCTTTTTAAAATTTAATTATTATGATTGTAAACAATAAGAAATATTTTCTAATTTCAATATAAACTTTACTCTCATTATAGCAGAATGATTGTACTATATAGTATAATAATAATAATAATTTTAAAATGTTTTAGATAGTCACTCTATTATAATGGGAGATCTGTTTTAACAGGGTCCACTATAATGAGGATAGAGTGTATTTAGTTTTCAATATCCATTAGTTTCTCAATTAGTAATCTCTTTTTTATTTGACCACCTCGTTATCCATTAATAAGTCACAGAAATTTACCTAAACATTAGAATCCAAAACTTGAATTTTATTTTCTTGATTCATTTTGACTAAACTAGATAATTGATTTAGCAATTGGCCCTAAAAATTTTTATTTAATACTAAATAATATCATATTAAATTAGTATATGTTTAATACATATACATACATTACTTTCTTCATAGTTTAAATATGCCACAAAAACTAAATCATTTGAATCGTCTAAAAATTCGATTTTTATTTATACTGTCTTTATATAAAACTAGAACTTTGAGTTGTACCTTCCTGAATCATCATTCCTGCTATGTTCAAATCCAAATCTTGGGTTTTATTTCCTTGATCTCTTTCAATTGCATTAGATGATCGAACCTAAAAATTTATTTTTGTTATTAAAAATGATATATATATATTAAGTTGCTTAATACTTACAGTACTTTCTTTATAGTTTAAAGGTAGGACTATAGAATCCAAGCTTTGAATTTCATTTTCTTGATATTTCAATATCGTTGGACAATTGGTCCTAAAAATTCTTTTTTAGATGCTAAACAATATTTATATTAAATTGCTAAATTTCTAATTTATACATTGCTTTCTTCATAGGTTAAAGATTTGGCTACAGAAGCAGAAATGTCTGAATTATCTAAAAGATTTGATTTTTTATTTGTGTTGTCATTTCTCATACCAAGACTTAAGGTGTTCAGTTGTGAATTACTACTAGCACTAGATTGTTTATTAAAATTTTCACTATGCTAGAAAATATATAGTCATATTAATAAAGATAATTTATTCTATGATTACTTTAATAATTTCATTATTTGCATTATTCAGAATTCCTGGATTTTCATTTGTATTTATTAGAAATATATGGCAAAATAAAATATTTTAAGATTATCTTTTTTATGAAAAAATTAGGTGCAGAATTAAGAGCATTCATGATGTTTCTATAACTTTCATCATTTATGGTTATATCCAAAGCCACAGAAGTTGAATTATCTTGGTCTAAAACTGTAGCGAATTTTCCATTAAATGTTACAGAAAAATCATTTCCTCCTTTAGTGATCCAAAGTAATTTAATTATAAGTTTGATAATTTCTTGTTTTTCCATATTTTCCATAATGGTAATTGGTTTTTTCTTAAAAAAAAAAGTGTTTCAAAGCTATTACAAACAGTTTATATAATTTTAATAAATGACATGATGATATTATTAATACGATTATGATTAGTACACGTCACTCTAATTTCAATATCTGATTGTTTAAAGTTTGAATCATATATGAGAATGCATAGCGATAATATTTTTACTAATGCTTTAAAAATCTATAAATTAATTAATGCTACTTTTATATTATTAAATCTGAGGTTAAACATAAGTTATATCCAGAAACTTGACTCATTTGGTACTGGGAAGCATGATAATAACAATAAATAATGATTCAATAACGTTAATGATAGAATAGTGATATTGGATCTGTATTAAATAAGATTGAAAACTGGATCGTTCTCAGCCACGACTAATCTATTTTAAGAATTTCTTTGTAATGAAAAACATTCAATATCAGTATTGATATAACAAATAACCATAAAAATACATATAGAGATAAATTAGAGGCAATGAAGAGCATAAAGGTGAATATTTAAATTTTAGGATAATAGAACAAATTTAGACATGCAATATTATTATCTTTAATCTGATAGGCAGATAAATTTGCCTACTAAAATTAAATAAAAAAATAAAATTTTTTAATTTAATTAATCTCAATCAAATTTAATTCATAATGATAATGATAATCGAAATGATCTTCAACTGCTAACAATAGTATATGATAACTATAATTTGATGTATAACATCAAATATAAAATAAATACAGATTAATTGTGTAACTTATAAGATTTACAACTTTTTCTAGCGATTATTCATGCTAATGTAAAGAAAAAAAAGACAACCAATCTTAAATATGGTATTATTATGATGTTTTTTAATTTTTAAAAAATGGTTTTCTTTAACTCTGGTTTTGATATTCAAGGTGAGACTGAATTTGAATGTGTATACATTGAAGAAAAAAATAGAAAAAAGCTGCACAAGAATGGTAAAGATTTTGAAGATAGAATTGGAATTATTTTTATGAATATGAATATAGAATTACATAGGCTTAGGTGAGTATCCACTGAGTCATTTGTCTACAAATAAACATGTGCCACAAAGCGTGATGTTATCCAGCAATTTATAATCATGATTGGTAGGGAGTTGTCTGCTGAGTTTTAATTTGAATAAACATAATTACATCATAAAACATGAAAAAAATAGAAGAAATAAATTTATGATCATAAGTTTGCTGAATAAAAATGTATATTATTGAACAGAACAGATGACAAAAAATAATAGTAAATTATTTTTTGTCAGAGTTAAGTCACTCCATGTGCTGCTACGCAGCACATGAGTGAAATTAACTCCAATAAAAAAAAAAAATTTACTGTTATTTGTCGTACATATGTTCAATAAATTTACATGATCATATGAAATGTCAGATAATAATATTTATTCCCATTTATGAAAATTCGTTTTGATTATTTGATGTTTCACAAATTCTGCAGATTCTTCAGTTCCACAAATTCTTCAATTTCACAGATTCTTCAATTCTTCAATTCCACAAATTCTGCAATTCTGCAAATTCTGCAAATTTCATACATTTTACAAATTAAATAAAATTGCATAAATTATTTGATAGTACTAATTATTCAAATAATGCACATGCTTATTCCATTTTGCATTAAAAAATATAAACACCAAAAAATATAAAAGCCAAAAAATTTAGCTATTGAAAACTCAAACCAATTTAACAATCAGGATAAAAAGGAGAAATTATTTAAAAGTATATAACCTGGTGAAGTCTCAAGATTTAAAGACCAAAAACACTTATTCTCTGGTTAATCTCTAAAAAACAGGCTTAGGAATGTCGAAGAACTATCAAGAAATCCAGAATGATCTAAATAAATTACTTAAAGCCTCATCCGTGAATATTAAAACTCTACCTCAACTATTTAAGCAATCATCTAAAAACCAAAAAAAGATAACGATCTTATGGAGAAGATTAGCATGTGCCAAAAGATTAAAGAGACAAATTGAATCTCTTGTTTATTCCTTTTATTTGGAGAAAATATTAGAAACTGTGACTAAACGAGAAAGGATCATGTGCAATAAACTATTAACTAGATACTTTATTTCAGTATCTATAAGAACATATTATTTTTTTGAAAAGCTTAGTGTTAAACAAATTTATAGGACTTCCACCATGAACTTAACAATGATCTCCAAATTAGGGTTCAGAGAGTTTCAAAATCTGGTAAAATTAACTGATTCGATAAAAGAAAAGTTGGTTAATGTTAATTTACCTTAAGAGACCATTACGGATAATGATGATTATGAACTGGTTCAACCTAATTTGGTACAGTTCAAAGGTATAAGTCAGCCTAAATTCCTAATTGACCAAGTGATAGAAGACAAATTGGATAATGTTAATTTACCTTAAGAGACCATTATGAAGAAGGATGATCACTTCTTGATTCTGTCCAACTCGGTACAGCTCGAAGGTTTAAGTCAGCATAAATTTATAATTGACCAAGAAAATTTAAAAAAACTCGTATTGTTCATGCATTCACTCACAAAAATTACTATAAAATATATGACTAGTAAACATCATATAAACCATTGCGGTGAATTTATGAAATACCCCAAAATTTAAAAATTTTAATTACTAATGTGTAAATACTGATTTTTGCTAAGATAATCAATATTCCCCAGGTTAAGATGCGTCATTATAATAAATTTATGTTTAATGTAGTACATTAAAAGTGGTGAAAATGGGTTAGCATGTGGGAAAGATGGGTTAAACACATTATCAGTTTAGATCAAAGGTTAAAATTTTTTTTTCGAGGTATGCCATTGATTTATTAATATGTAATTTGGAAACTAAAATTTTGATTTTGGGGAACAAATACTTGGATTTGGTGACCGAATTTTAGCTTATTTTCATAAATTCGCTGTAATGTAGTCAGTATCATTTCTTTATATTCAATACTGGTATGAATCTTATTTGTCGTTAGTCATTCAATTATTATGTAAAGGCTTATATTTTATAAATATTATTGAGCCATTATTTCGTGAAAAAATTATTATTATAAATTGGCAAATTTAAGATTTTTTATATTAATATATAAGTTGGTTCAGTATAATTTGAAATTGTGCAAATGAAAAGGAAATATTTTTTGAAAATGTCAAAAGTTTATTACATATAAGTTAGGAGAAAATTAAGTCTTGTTGTTATAAAATTCTTTTTAACTGAACGAATCATTTATGCAATTTCTTGAACTAAAAATTCTTAGAAAGCTATTTAAATAACTTTTACTTTCGTTTGGTAAAATGCACAGTGAACCTACGTGCAAATTTCTCTCTACGGATGCAGATTATCAGAGTACCTATGCAAAAGTTTCATAAGGTCACGCTTTTTTATATATACTGTCTTGACATTGTATTTTGCGAAATCAGAAATCACATGAAACCAAAAACTTATTTAAGTAATTAGTGATTTTTTCTTTATGCTCGACTGATAATGTGATAAGGCCTATGATTAATATCATTGTAGTGACTACACATAAATGAATGATAAATTATCTTCTATTTCTGTGACACATTTACTTAATCATAAAAAATCGTGCATATTATTATATAATAAAATTAGCGAGCATTCTGTTGGATATGATATGTAATAAAATTTTAGGTGTAGAAATCACCAATGTTAAAAGCTTTTATCTTAATAAAAAACAAAAATTTGCAGAAAAAAAAGAACGTCATGTCACAAATTCTGCAAGTTCTGAAAATTCTACAATTTTAGCAAGTTTTACAAATTCAATTAATTCCAAAATTTCTTCCAAATCGGATCAAAATTGTTATAAAAAAAGGCAATTAAGGATTTTCTGGTTTGTTTTAATGCTTGTCCTTACCGTTTACTGTTACAAGTTTTTTTTCCTGTCGTTAAATAACTACAAACTAATTATTTTTATTATTAAAAGCTATATATGATCATGTCATCTTCTTCAAGCAATACTTCCGATCGGTAAGATTTATTAAATTTTTATTCTAAATATTAGATTAACCTGGATTTGTAGAATTGATAGTTGATTATCTACTTTTTTCGATTCTATTCTTAGTAAACAAAATAATCAATCAAAAAACAAAGATTATTATAAGATTGCTTATGAAGCTTTAAGAAGGGACATATCAAAGAAAAAATGTGTTAAAACACCTAAAAAGCTGAAAAATTTAACATCCATATTGGAAAACTTCAACAATACTAGAAAACTAAAAAATCGATTTTATGTTTTTGTTTACACTTTCTATCTTGGTGAAATTCTGGTAAATTCTATAAATGAAAAATTTTATAAATATGAAAACAAAAAATGTAGGAGTGGTAAAAATGAAAAGTATATATATGTTAAAGGCCTGTCAAGACATTATCATGATTTTTCAATATGAGTATATGATCTTTTTAGAAGGTTGAACAAATTCAAGAAACCAACCTGACTAACCTACCTTTAACACCGATCACCAAAATGAAGACACATAAATTTCAAGAACTGGTAAACAACAATGACAACGATGATATTGAAGACGAATTATCTCAAGACAACGACAATGCTGCAGAGGAATTATTAGAGAATAATGGTACTGAAGACAAATTATCTCAAAACAACAATGATGCTACAGAAGAATTATTAGAGAAAAATGGTACTGAAGATGAATCACTTCAAAATAGTGACCATTTTCAAGATACTATGCAGCAAATTACTCAATATCATAATAATGACCACTCACATATTGCCACTAGCCATTCACAAGATATTACGCAGCAAGTTGATATTCATAACAACAGTCAATTTTATTTGTCTCAAGATTACTCTGGTTTTTTTTTAAATCACTAACTGCAAAATCTATTGAGATCAAATTTAATTTCAACAATAATTATTATTTAATCACCAGTAATTTTAACGATCTTCAAACCTACACTACCATTAGTCAGCCAACTCAAGTTGTCACTAATTCTAATACTCTTCGAAGGGCGCGATCACATTAAAGTAATTTTTGCTGGTGAAGAATAAGTATAATACACAAATATTTCCAAAAGTCAACTGCTCTAATAGTACCGCTAAAGAAAAGATAAACAAATAGAAACCAATCAAAATCCTGGGGATTTTGTTTGTCGGATTTCGATCCAAACTTAAAACTTCATATAATTTAAAAATTCTTGTTTCAATAGAATGTCTAGTATATCTACCATTACTAAAATTACTAGAACACTAATCATTAATACTTGATGCATAATACCATAATTCTTGCTAAGTTCGCTACAGTGAAAGCTTAAATATTTATTTACAGGTTTTCATTCTGCAGCACTCATTAGGCTGGAGTGAAGAGGAGCAGGGTGGAAGAACTTTCTATGGTCTACAAAATTGAGTTAATGAGATAAGCCTTTATTTTGATTATTTTGAGCAATAGTATCTCCTGTAAAGTTTAATTAATCAGAAATTTGATCATTAAAAAAAGAGTATTGCTAATCTTAACGGGGTAAATTCACCCTCTCTGTGATCAGCAAAATTTCTTTGTATAATGATAACAAACCAAAATTTTGTCTATGAAACCACATTCTATGTAATACTGTAATAACAAAAAGATTTTAACTAATTTTCACCCTAGGTGATTTCACCTCGTATTATAGAACTGTTTAAAATAAATAAATAAAATAACCTTTTTAGAATTAGGGTTAGGGTTCGAGTTTGAGTTAGGGTTAGAATTAGAAAGTATGTTTATGTGCAAAATTACGTGCTGAAAACTTTTACTTAATCCGAAGCTAGTTTTCATAATAAAATTTTGATTTTTAATTTTTTTTCTTAAAAATTTCTTTACATTTGTTACACAAGATCCTGTGACCTGATTGGTTTTACTAATAAAGAGGTGATATCACTTAGGTGAAAATTAGCAATAGTCTAACAAAAAATTTCTTGCTAAATTTTAGTATAAAATATGTTCTCCAACCTAGTATTAACCCAACTCTAATTAATATATTAAAAATTTTGTAAACACATGAGGTGAAATTCGCCCCTGTTAATTTTAGTTATTTTTTTAAAAAAATTGTAATAATAAATATATATAATAAATAAAATAGACTATTAATAATGTAATAAATAAGATAAAAAAATTATTGTAATAAATATGATAAATAAAATAGAAGGTGTGGGTCCCATAGCTTAGCGGTTAAGCTCCCATACCCTCCACAGTTAAGGTCAACGGTTCAAGTCTGGCTGGAGGCAAAATTGAAAGATTTTAGCTTCTGTAACCTAATAAGGAGCCTGTAAT